TGCGTACGGGAAGACCACTCCCACGTCTGCGACTGATCCCGAAGTCAAACGACTTCGCGAGCACTTGCGAGTATTTCGTACAACCTTACGCCCCGGTGCGTACCTGGTGGACTCGATCCCGTGGCTCAAATACCTTCCTTGGTATGGCCGAGAATTGAAACGGGGGTTTCACGAAAGTGAACAGCTCCACACCGCTCGGCTAAATCGCGTGAAACACGAAATGGTACATGGCCTTGCCCATCTTCACTTCACATATGAATCATTCCACAGGAGAACAATGTGGACTTTGATCCTTCATTTACAAAACATATGCTACAAGATCTCCAACTACACGGTTTGTCGGAGATAGAGATGGCCTTTCTTGCTGGCAGCTTATCTGCAGCTGGACGTGATTCGGTGAGATGTCTTGTGCTGTTGCTTCTGAACATACGTGATTGAATTCATGCGTCAGACTACTTTGGCAATATGCACAGTACTCATGGCAGCCGCAATGTTTCCCGAGGAGCAAGCGAAAGTCCAGGCCGAGCTTGATGCGATCGTAGGAAGGCAACGAGGTAGCTTCATTCGTATAACAACTTCATAAATTTCAAGGATGTTTCACTACAGCACCGACCTTCGCTGACGGACAGTCCCTTCCTCAATTGCACGCCTTCATCTTTGAGGCTTTGAGATGGAGACCAATGTTTCCCAGCGGTAGGTGTATTCATCGTCGCTGTTGTACCTGAAGTTTTCAACGTTCACACGGCAGGAATTGCTCATCGATCGACTAAGGATGTGCTTTGGGCATGTATCTTTCGAACTACTTATTGTGCGAATGATAATCTGGCCCATCAGGGAAACTATTGCATTCCAGCTGGAACTACTGTAGTCGGCAATCACTGGTAAGTATCATCTTTCAAGATATAAGGGACTGATGGTCACGTCGTCAGGTCCATCTCTCGAGATCCCGACGTCTTCCCCGAACCTCATGCGTTCAAACCTGAGCGTTGGATCAATGACCAAGGTCTCTGTAGGGACGATCTAAAATTATTCTTCCTCTTTGGGTTTGGTCGGCGGTAAGTAACAGTCTTCAAGGACATTCTTTCGTTGACTGACCGGGTTTCAAGTGTATGTCCCGGTCGACATGTGGCGAACAGGTAAAGGTTTCTTTTCACGCACATTATTTCCCGAGTTCATTTCAATGGCTACAGATCGATATTCATAAACTCGCTCCTTATTCTTTGGGCCTTCCAGGTGACTCTGGATCCTACGAAGCCACTAGATGACATGGGGTTCATGAGCGGAAATATTCGATCATGTCCTATTGATTTTAAGACGAGGGTTCCAGAGACGGACCTCAGGCGCATGATGCAGGTTTATCCCGAAGTCGCCTGAGAAGCCTCAATTGCCGCCTAGGGATCTATCAGTCCTGTATTTCTCGCAGTATGTATTATAGCTTGAATGAGGTTTTTTTTTACCTCAATCCTCATGCATAACTGTCTCATACTCTCATATCTTACTTTGACTCCGAGCAACTCTGTCTCATGTTAAATTACATACTAGTTGTAATAGCTGAATGTAGTATTGATTCGTGTACCCCTGTTCACCTCGCGCACACCCGGTGGGCCAACACAATCTCGCTGCCTATATATCCATCTAAAACGGACCACCAAAATAAATCATCTTATCCTCAACTTCATCTTTCGCATCTTTCGCCATTGCCGACAAAGCGTTCGACACCACCTTCCATCTCCGGCCATACTTCCCAGATAACCATGCCTCATCTGCTGTCATTGTGATTCTCTCGATGCACGGCACGATCGCGTGCAGGAATCGTGGGATGGATTCCATCAGGTCGGTAGACTGTGGTATATGGTAGTACCAGATGCATGCAGGTTCGTGCACAAAATGGAGGGGCTACTGATACATGACGGGCGTGTCAAAGGGGGCAGTGATAATGGAAGAAGCCAGATGAAATCCACGCCGTAGCAGCGTGATATGGAAGAACCCTGGATAAGCGCCTACACGAGTTGGGTCATGGGCAAAAGTCCAACGCTACTCACCATCACCAGACCCCCAATGCAAGGATATCTTAAACGTACGGCCCTCATCAACTTCAAATGCTGCTGACCGTCTGTATCTCTGTCTAGGTCAACGCGAGATGTCAGGGGTGCCTGATGCAGCAAGAGATGCGGATCTCACTCTGAGACGGCAGCCGACGCCGGCGCAGACAACGGAAGGGCAACTGACACCAGCGTGGATGATGAAAGGACATACGGGCGCCGTGGCAGCAGTCGCGTTCTTCAAAGATGGTCGACGGGTCGTTACTGGTTCATGGGATGGAACCCTGCGAATTTGGGACATGGAGACAGGAGCATTGGTAAGAGGGCCATTCAAGGAACACCAGCGCGGGGTGACTTCCGTGGCCATATCACCAGACGACAGGCGAATTGTGAGGGGTGGAATGGATAAAACCATCATCATCTGGGACGTCGAGAGCAAGCAGAAAGTATTCAAACCGCTGGTGAAGCATACAGACACGGTGTGGTCGGTTTGCTTCTCACCCGATGGCAAGAAACTTGCAAGCGGGTCGATGGATTCCATGGTTGTTTTATGGAATGCAGAGACCGGCGCTGTCCTCGCAACACTCAAGGGTCATCGTTTTTCGGTGTACAGTGTGGCAATCAGCCCAGATGGGCTAAAATTAGCCTCCAGATCATTTGGTGACATCCGGGTGTGGCGCACCGATAATGCCGAGCTTCTTCTCAAGTTCGACGCTCACCAACATTATGTTCGAAGTGTTGTGTGGTCGCCTGACGGCCAGCAACTTGTCTCTGCATCAAACGACAGCACAGGCAAGTTCTGGAATTCGTCGAATGGACACCAGATCGGTCAACCTTGCACCGGTCACACTTGCTACATTGTTTCGCTCGCCATCTCGTATGACGGCTCCTTCATTGCCACTGCCTCGGATGACAAGACTGTGCGGCTGTGGAGCACAGAGACACACCAGCACATCAGTCAGCTACTCAAACACACCTCGAGCATTTTCTCTGTCGCGATTTCTCCCAATGGAGAACTGCTCGTCAGTGGTGATTTCAACGGAAATGTGCTGCTCCGGTCTATCAAGGAGATACTTGAGCAACACAAGGCGGGAGAAAGGACAAATGTCGATGAAGGAGCACGTCGACAGCAACTCCTTGGTCTCAGTGACACGCAAGTATGTTATCACCCATTATTTTTAGTCTGTCTGTTTATTCATATTGCTTTCGGTGGCGGCACACAGCCGCACTGTCATGACACCGACGATGAGCTCCCTGGCAATAACGATGGTGCAAGTCGCCATTCTTCGCAACAAACGCCTAGTAGTGACGACAACCCTTCATTATTTGACGTGAGCTGCCTTCAATTTGTACCCTTATCACGGAACATGAGCTCGCTTCATGCAGATCCCTGTTATAAACACGACGCTACCCAATGCATGCATTGCTGAGGACCTGCACACCACTGAAGACCTCCTGTCCCAGGAGACCGACGCAGATGACAACAACCACGACTTATATGCCAATGAGGGAGACAATGATGAGGAAGTACAGCAACTCCTTCCTCATTGTGACACGCACGTATGCCGTTTCCCATTCTTGTCCCGCTTTTCTATTTATTTACACGACACACAGCTGCCGGTGCACAGTCACGAGAACAAACACGAGCCCACCGGCGATCAGGACAGTCCAAGCAATCATCCCTCGGATACCGACCAAGCCTCTGGCAGTGACGACAATCACTCATTGTTCGACGTGAGCTTCTTCTTTCGATGCCTCTGCTCATAACACAACATGAACTTTCTTCGTGCAGATCCTTGCTATCAACAAGACCGTCCGCAATTCATGCATCCCTGGGAATCTGCATATTACTGAAGACCTGCTGACACAAGAGATCCGTGCAGATGGTGACAACCACCACTCGTATGCCAATCGCTCTGTTGTAAGGGCGCGAAACTCCGAGTGGGACATGGCCCTTCAAGACTCAGTCAAGGTCAGATGCTCTGCGTATCAAGATGCTGTTGGTGCTGACTCTGCTTCTTGATGCAGTCCATTGCTATTCAGCCCTCGTTATTGGGCTACATTTCCAAGGCCATCGCACTCTGCGCAAACGAGCAGCTCTGGGACGCGACAGAAGCATTTGATCTCGCGTTCGTATTTTCGAATCGTGATCCAATCACCGTCGGTCTTTTACTATTGATCAAGGTACTCTTGTCGCTATTTCAGTCTGTCTGTCGTACTAATACTTCGATGTCATCTTGTCCAGGCTGTTGTACTTTTCAATGCCGGTTGCCATGGTGAGGCGATGCGGCGAGTTCAAGACCTCGCCACCGCTTGTCATCATTTGGATACACTTCCGTGCAGTGTTATCAATGTGAGCTTTACGTCATACCTCACGAGTTTTCTCACTTTCGATCACACTCTCCAGTCATATCTACGCCTGCAGCTTGCAATAATCGCTTTTGATGACGGGCGGTACAGCGAAGCCGCCGATCGACTGAACGATGTCATGCCTAGTATAACCGATGCGTCCTCTTACCGAATGCCCTTTGAACCTACATTGAAGGTATTCACAGTGGTACGTCACTATGAAGCCCACAGGACACTTTTAATGATTTGCGCTGTACAGCTCTTTGGCTGGGACATGGATTCACTATGGCAAAGTGTCAACCAAAGGCGGTGCGATGCACTCCTTCGCGCCGATCGAGTGATCGAAGCGGTTGAATCTCACCGATACATGATGAACATGATTGACGAGGATGTGAAAGACAGCTACCTCGCATGGTCTACTGGTGGGTACTTTGGGGTCGTATACAACTTAAATATCGACACTTACTCTGAGGTTGTTTAGCCTTCAAGAAAAACTGTACTGCACGCTGTCTCACAAAGGGAGACGAGGCTGTTACTGCAAGCAATTACGAGGCGGCTATCGAACTATATTCGGCAGGAATCGGGCTTGACTCCTCGTGCGAGTCCCTGTATGCACACCGCAGCAAGGCGAACTTAGAATGGAACCTCCATGTAGAGGCCCTTTTCGACGCAGAGAAGGTGCAGATATGATGTCCATCATTGGTATAGAATTTATTCTGACACCGGCGATGCATAGCTCATCGAACTCAATACTTCTTCTTACCTGGGATACCAACTAAAGCATGCAGCGCTTCACGGCGCACGGCGCTACGATGAAGCAATCATGGCCTTCAAAATGATGCTCTCGAAGTCGGATGATACACCCGACGCGCAGATCCAAAGTAAGCCCGAATCCATCATGCATCAACGAGAAAATCATGATCCCCTTCTCCAGAGTTGTGTCAGCACAATGTCAATCCATCTGACATCAAAGGCACTATTCGACGAGCCATTGACGCTAAACTTGAAAATGCTCCGCTTCGTCTACTCAATACGTCCACTGGGCGTATATGCACTCGAGAGGCACAGATCAGAGCCTTCACAGAAAGCACAGAGTACAAGGAGCTTGTGTTTTCATCCATAATGTATGGGCCCGTCCAAGCGGAGCATATTGAAGCAGTCGTCGCGAAGTACTTTGGTTGGGCCATGTTATCGCACAGGTGGCAAGATGATGAGCTACTGCTGCACAACATCCAGGACAAGGTCATGTATGATTTGGATGCAGTTGGAACCACAGTGAAGTTGCAGATGTTCTGCAAAACTGCTCGCGATGCGGGCTACCGCTGGGCGTGGAGCGATACATGTTGCATTGACCAGAAAAACAATGTTGAGCTACAAGCGTCTGTCAACTCCATGTTTGTTTGGTATCACCACTCAGGACTCACCATCATTTACCTACCGGATGTTCTGCCTTCGTCGAAGTCAGGCACGCTTGCAAACAGTGTTTGGAACACACGAGGATGGACTGTTCAGGAGTTCCTAGCTCCTAGCATTGTTCTCTTCTACTGAGCAGATTGGAGTCTGTACCTCGACGACCACTCTTGCAACCACAAGGAGTCTGCCATTATCATGCAGGAGTTGAGGGATTCGACGGGTATAGATGCACAGGCGCTCGCTGCCTTCGAACCGGGGATGAGAGACACCCGAGAGAAACTTATATGGTCATTTCAGAGATACATTTCAAAGTTGTAAAAAACTATCTTCTGGTGGGCTGGTACATATGTTAGAGGGTACTTCCAGGATGGATATGAGCCAACAATCAAAGAAAACGGCGGTTGGGTTGTGGAGATATTGTCAAAATACTGACTTTTCAGCCCACTTATAGGGTCAAAATAGAAATAGGTTTCAAACTTGTGAAAAAATATCTTTTGACGGGCTGGTACATATCATAGAGGGTATCGATAGGATGGATATGAGCCAACAATTAAGAAAAACGGCGGTTGGATCGTGGAGATATGTCCAAAATACTGATATTTGAGCCAACCTCCCATATCACAATAATGCTGACCTCTGGAAGGTCTGGGACCATTCCCAATCGATTCACAGGCCTCAAATACCTTAGGAGCAATGTTTGCAGTATCGGTATTGAGGTGGAATACTGGGATAGTGACATACATGAGGTCAGGAGGAGGAGGAGGACCTTGTATATCTCAGGAACACGATTTTTCCAGGCAATTCTGGCTTTACCATCGTGTTCAGAGGGCTCAATAGCCCCCAGGAAAAATGCTTTTGAAGGACAGGCTAGTCATATGAAGTCTAGAAAAATCGATCTTTGGGTGGGGCAGCATGACTTGGGTGGCCAACTTTGGAACATGATTTTTAGAGCGAAATCCGGCTCGACCAACGTGTTCAGATGGTCAAATAACCTCTAGAATGAGTCCTACCTAAAGCCAAGCAAGCCATATGAAGGCTGAAAAAATCGATCTTTGGGTGGGGGGGGGATGACAGGGGCAGCCAACTTTGGAACATGATTTTTAGAGCGAAATCTGGCACGACCAACGTGTTTGTATGGTCCAATAACCTCTAGAATGAGTCCTACCTAAAGCCAAGCAAGTCATATGAAGGCTGAAAAAATCGATCTTTGGGTGGGGGAGCATGGCATGGGTGGACAACTTTGGAACATGATTTTTAGAGCGAAATCCGGCTCGACCAACGTGTTCAGATGGTCAAATAACCTCTAGAATGAGTCCTAGCTACAGCCAAGCAAGCCATATGAAGGCTGAAAAAATCGATCTTTGGGTGGGGGAGCATGATAGGGGTGGTGGTCAACTTTGGAACATGATTTTTAGAGGCAAATCTGGCATCACCAACGTGTTTGTATGGTCCAATAACCTCTGGAACGAGTCCTACCTAAAGACAAGCAAGCCATATGAAGGCTGAAAAAATCGATCTTTGGGTGAGGCAGCATGACAGGGGTGGTCAACTTTGGAACCTGATTTTTTTGGACCAATCGAGCATTGCCAGCTCGTTCAGAGGGCTCAATAGCCTTGGGAACAAGTGCTGCAGGAACCCCAGCAAGCGATATGAGGGCCAAAGAAATCAATCTTGAGGGGAGGCAGCAAGATAGGGGCAGTGGACTCAACTCAACTTTGGAACTTGATTTTTATGGACCAAGCAGACATGTCCAGCATGTTCACATGGTTCAATGGCTTCAAGAACAAGTTCTAGTCAAACACAGACGAGTCATATGAAGGCTGGGGAAATCAATCTTGGGGGGAGGCAGCATGACAGTGGGACTGCTTATATAAGCAAAAATGCGCTCACACAAGTTTTTCTCTTTCTCCCTGCCCACTCTCATCCATTGATAATGGTGCCATTTTTTTTTACTTTTCTTTCACTTTTTTGTGGGTTTGGGGGTCATGCTGGTTGTCTTCCCTTCATGGGGAACAAACTGTTGATAATGGTACCAGTGTGTCTTCCTGTTCTCACTTTTTCGCTTTTTTGTGGGTCTGGAGTGATACTGGTTGTCTTCCCTTCATGGGGAACAAACTATTGCTAATAGTACCAGTGTTTCTTTCCTTCTGTTCTCACTTTGTTTTCGCTGTTTTGTGGGTTTGGGGGTCATGCTGGTTGTCTTCCCTTCATGGGGAACAAACTGTTGATAATGGTACCAGTGTGTCTTCCTGTTCTCACTTTTTTCGCTTTTTTGTGGGTCTGGGGTGATACTGGTTGTCTTCCCTTCATGGGGAACAAACTATTGCTAATAGTACCAGTGTTTCTTTCCTTCTGTTCTCACTTTGTTTTTGCTGTTTTGTGGGTTTGGGGGTCATGCTGGTTGTCTTCCCTTCATGGGGAACAGACTGTTGATAAGTTAGGTTAGGTTAGGTGGTGTCGACACACGAGCGCGAAGCGCGAGTGTGGAGATGTGAAAGCTGTGAGAGGAGACTATTCGGTAGCAAGTTTGCCCTCGCTTTGGTGAGCAGAGGACGCTTTCGATGGTACTGGCCATCTCATCAGGCTGAATAGTAGTTTTTATACCTGTAACGCTGTAGATGTGAGTCTAGCAGCTAAGTTTGCTATCGTTTAGATAGTAAACATAGGAGGGATAAGGGTGTATTAGTTCCCGGATCTATCTTAGCGAATGAGACGCGTAGGATAGGCCAATTCCAGTCTTCCGCAGGAACAGACGCATAGATAGGGGCTTCTCATGGGACGCACAGGGGCAGAGATAAGATGTGAAGATAAGATCACAGGGGTGCGTCACCTACAGCCGCCGAAGGCGGACCGCGCGCGGAGCGCGCGGGCGGCGTTCCGAAGGAACGCCGCCGGCTTTAACATGACATGAGAAGATCCGAGGATCATAGGAACCGGATTAACGGTAATACCGAAACAAGGGAATAAACGCAAAAAGTGACATGTGAAGTGTCACGCACCGAACGGGCGTTACCCGCGGAGCACGGAACTGTCAACAGTGGGAATCTGACGGAGCGCGCGGGCGGCGGAACGCCGCCTCCGCGTTTCCCGATCATGAGAGACAGCGAACTCAGGGGGCCGCGAGACGGCCCCCTATTTACTAGCAAAGTAAACATCCAGACGTATAAAAGAAACGTCGAATGGTGAATGGTGGTATAACTTAGTTAGACATGGCACGCTACCGCCAATATCACAATACCACTTCACTCGATCAAACCAAGCCATGGGGCTATTCTCGGGGTCTGCAACTCGCTCGAGTCGAGCAGATCCGTCTTCGATCGCTCCGGATGCACCGGGACGAAAACGTTTATACCGGCGTTGGCACGCGCAAGCTTAGGCCGCGGCTTGACACCGCAACCGAGCGCGCGGGCTATACCGGCAAACGTACGTTCTGGCTGGAGGCACCATCCATCCTCCTAGCGAAGTATGATCCGGACAAACGCCTTGAGGCGTTCACCCGTGAGTAAATGTGGCTCTCACTTCTTGGACGAGACTAATGGACGACCTTCAGTCGCCAATGCATGCCGCCATCGTATGCCAGACACGTTGCTGCATCAGATCTGCACGTGGCGATACAAGGCGTGGTTGGTGCAGACGCAGGACTTACTGCCGCCGACCCAATGGTACCCGGGCATCGCTGCTCAGGGACCGGGCCGTCAGGCTGCCAGGTGGGCAATCCAACCTAAAAGGTGAGTTCTAGTGTTACCAACACTATTTTTTCCGTATTTTCGGTTTGTTAGTTTCGGTTAACTAATATACCTGTCCGATTAAGGACACGTATGACGCCAGAGCCGGAGTTGTTCCGGCGGGCCGACTAGGTTAGGTTGATAGATGATTGTAGGTTTCGTAGGTGGATGGCTCAGTGCTTGAGACCCTAACCCTAACTTAGGGTTTAAATTATCGGGAGGAGGATGACTACTTGCCTTTTTGGGCGACCCTAAACCCTAGACTAGGGAGGCAATATGCGGGAGATGCAGTGGGATGGGCAGCGGCTCCCTTTGGGGACCGTGGCAGGTGAGAAGCCGATCGATTCTTGTGCGCACGTGACCTGTGAGCACTTCACAAATGCGCGGTCCCCTGAGGGAGCCGCGGCTGCCCAAGAGAGAATAGGGGTCACGTGACGCAACGCGTCACTGTTTGTTGGTTCAACAGACGGACGCGTTGTGTCACGTGACCCCCGTTCTCCCTCGGACAGGCGCGGCTCTCTGAGGGGACTGCACATTTGTGAAGTGCACACAGATTCCATGTCGCAACGCGTCCGTTGGTTGGTTGGTTGAATCAACGTTGACGCGTTGTGTCACGTAATCTATGCTTTGACGCGAACATCCGCGGCTCCCTGGGGGGACCGCAATGTGAAGCGTTGCAGCGGGTCACGTGACGCGACGCGACGCGACCGTTGGTTGAATCAACGGTGACGCGTCGTGTCACGTGATCGCGTTGCTGACGTGGAATATGCGCGGCTCCCTGAGGGGACCGCGCAAGTACTAAGTGCAAACAGGCCACGTGACGCGACGCGACAACGTTGATTCAACCAAACGCTGACGTGTCGCGTCACATGACCCCCGTTCTCCCTCGGACAGGCGCGGCTCCCTGAGGGGACCGCACTGTACGAGTTGCAAGCAGGGTCACGTGACGCGACGCGACGCGACTGTTGGTGGAATCACCGTTGACGCGTTGCGTCACGTGGCCTGTTTGCACTCAGTACGTGCGCGGTCCCCTCAGGGAGCCGCGCCTGTCCGAGGGAGAACGGGGGTCATGTGACGCGACACGTCAGCGTTTGGTTGAATCAACGTTGTCGCGTCGCGTCACGTGGCCTGTTTGCACTTAGTACTTGCGCGGTCCCCTCAGGGAGCCGCGCATATTCCACGTCAGCAACGCGATCACGTGACACGACGCGTCACCGTTGATTCAACCAACGGTCGCGTCGCGTCGCGTCACGTGACCCGCTGCAACGCTTCACATTGCGGTCCCCCCAGGGAGCCGCGGATGCACTATGTCTGTCCACAGCGTCCGTCCACACAGGCAGTCTGGACCAATCACTGTCGACAAACACAGTCCCCACAGGCAGCCACCGTGTCCCATCCACTGCTCAGTCGAGTTTCTGGACAATGGTGCGTCCACCAGCGGAGTTTGAACTGCGTTCACAACGCCATCTCTCTTCCCTACTTATTCTTCTTTCTAGACCGTTTCATTTCCCTCCTCTTCTCAGCCTCACACGGAACATCCCAACCCACCCCCCATCTGCACCCCTGTCACCATCCTCTCCCATTCTCCATGGCTCAAATATCGAAGGCCAAACGGTCAGCCCGTCTGCGTTGGGCACGGGAAAGGCAGGCACGCTTGCCAGCTGCCAGGCAAGCGGAGGAACTTGTAAGTCATCGCCTTCTGTTGTGCATTTTACTAACCAACCAACCAACCCATTGCACCCCATAGCTGAGAGTGCCCGCCGGTGCTGCTCAGCCAAGGCGCAGCAGGCCCAGACGCCAGGTTCAGGTCCCTGGACCTGGAGTGTATCTTGGCACGCGGTCGCGTGCTGGTGCTGCAGCGCCACTCCATGATGTAAGTCCCTCCCTCTCTCTCTTCATTCACATTGTCTGACCCAAACATAAGGTGGGTATGTTGCCCCCACCTGCGCCGTCACCCTCACCGTCACCCCCACCCACTCCTGTCATGTCATCCCCCCCGGTCATCAAGGGGGAGACAGGTGACGTCTTCCGCGTCCTCCCCAAGATGGAGGAACGCCTCACCATCAAGGAGGAACCCCTCCCCTTCAAGCTGGAGGATGCTCACTTGACGCAGGAGGTCATAAAGAAGGAGGAGATCAAGGAGGAGCCGGTCCTCCAGGATGTGAGTGATCCCAATAGCTGTTGTTGTTCTTAGATATACTCCATCCAATCTATCTGCTGTCTTGAAAGTAGCTACAATGATAGTTACATACTTCTACTTCACAACCTTCAAACTTTCAAGTGTAGTTCACCTACTCACCTACTCATCTAATCACAGGTTCGGGTCGACGAACGACAGGACGACGGAGTTGGGGGAGCTCGAGAATTATCAGGCGGAGAGAGCAGGGGGTCGCGTAGTCAGTATAGTAGCTTAATTCCTGTCTTAGATATCAATATATTGTGTGTCAAACTCATCCTGTACTGCCTCACGGAAGACTAGCGCGAAACACCCAAGTGCCATTACCAATGCCGACGCGAACACCACTACGACTGGTGGTACTGCCAAGCGCCGTCGCATGAGCACAGACAGCGTGTCAGAGCCTCCAAGTCGTACGAGACGTGCCGCCAGCCATACTAGGCTGTGACCAGTCCTGACTGAGGGAGTCAGGGTGACATGCACCCGAACTGTCAGCGGCTCCCTGAGGGGACCGCCATCATGTTGGCATATTGACGAGCACCCGGTGCGCAACCCTGACCGTGAGAGAAAGCATGTGCTTCATGGCCGACTGTCAGTCACTCATCTGACGGCTCCCTCCGGGGACCGCATCCAGCATCCTGAACATTTGTCCAGGGGGATTATCAATTTTTTAGGGGATCTGTTGGTGGTGGTGGGTCCTTCGTGTGATGTGGTGGTTGAGTGATTTGTTATTCACGCTACTGGTGTGATGAGGGTGACAGGATCGTTGTTTCAGGATTTGTTGTATCACACATGTTACCTGACAGGCACTTTGAATTGACAGCATGCCAGGGGTATGACTGATGACTGATTCCCGCCGGACATCGCAGTGCTTCATGTGGTTGGTTGGTTTGGTTGGTTGGTTGGTTGGGTGGCGGGGCGGCGTGTCTTTCATATCCGCCTGGAGAGTGTAGATTCATGGAGGCAGCGACTCCCAAAGAGAGCTGCCTCACTCGATGATTGCTGATGTCTTGCCATCTTGGCGAGACATAGCTGATAATTTGTGAGATCTTACATTGATGGCAGGGATTCACCGACACACAGGTTAGGTTGCTTCGAGGCGGCCATGAATTGTGACGATCGCCCGGGCACATCAGAAAAATCGACCGACTCACACCTGGACAAATGGGGCAGGTGAAACGGCATCCCGCCGAAGGCAACGGCTCCCATTGGGAGCCGGGACCTGCTGTCGGGCATGAGGCAACACGTCCCTTGCCACGTTTGTCCAGGTGTGAGTCGGTTGATATCTTTGATGTGCCCGGGCGATCGTCACAATTCATAGGGCGGTGGCTATGAATTGTGACGATCGCCCGGGCACATCAAAGATATCAACCGACTCACACCTGGACAAACGTGGCAAGGGACGTGTTGCCTCATGCCCGACAGCAGGTCCCGGCTCCCAATGGGAGCCGTTGCCTTCGGCGGGATGCCGTTTCACCTGCCCCATTTGTCCAGGTGTGAGTCGGTCGATTTTTCTGATGTGCCCGGGCGATCGTCACAATTCATGGCCGCCTCGAAGCAACCTAACCTGTGTGTCGGTGAATCCCTGCCATCAATGTAAGATCTCACAAATTATCAGCTATGTCTCGCCAAGATGGCAAGACATCAGCAATCATCGAGTGAGGCAGCCTCTCTTTGGGAGTCGCTGCCTCCATGAATCTACACTCTCCAGGCGGATATGAAAGACACGCCGCCCCGCCACCCAACCACATGAAGCACTCGAAGCCCTGAACCAGCCCTGAGGATGATCCGATTTCCCCATGTAGTTATTGATCACGGCACAATCACAATGTCCCTGAAAAATATCATTTTAAGTGCAAGTGAAATAGTACGGCAGGTACGTTATATGTAGCTAGCGCACAGCGGAACTGAAACCAAGAACGACTCACAACCCACAACCTCCCATATCACCGCGTAAGTCTACCCACGCGGGTCCCACTCACTAGCAACTGATCCGACACACCACAGAATCACCTCACCATGAGCAAAAACCTTCAAAGCGCTGTGTTGATGATCCTCCTCGCTGGCAAGCATTGGATCTTTGACGACGAGAGCGGTACACTGGAAGATGTATTCGGCCTGGATGAAAAAATGTTCGACGTCCCAAATCCACACCTCACCGATCAGCAGCGCGAGTCGTTGTGTGCGATGATCGAGGCGATATCACAGAGAAAGTCAGCTGACGCACGTTATAAAGTCCTGGAAGGGAAGAGCGAGGGTGGATGGAGCGCCGGTCGCGACGCGTTAAAGATCTGGTTTAATAAACAAAAAGTATCACTGAAAATGGCCCAGCGCATTGACAACGTCTGGGATTCTCTAGGACTCTTACCCTTGCAACTCATTCAAGACGGACTGGAGGAGGGCGAAGAATTTCCAAACATCCTGGACTCTGAGCGTGCCAAGGAGGACGTGCTGATCGCAATCTTGGGAGACCACGCCAATGAACAGCTCCCGCGTGGTGATTTTCGCGACGCAGCAGCGACGATCAACCACCACGCCTGGGAGCGTCACCGTAAACGCTTCAAGCGTGCCCAGCAGTCGTTGCCCGGGAAGCGACTTACTGCGAGTGTGGCTATCAAAGGTATGAGTACGACCATGACTATTGGGATACATGAACTCACACTGACACAGCAATCGAGGATGCGGACGAAGTCAGTGCGAAGATGTTTCGTGACGCTACGAAAGCCGTCAAAGCTCTGCGCATGACGGTGGCGTGGTTCCCCCATGAGGACGACCATGTTGCAGAATATGAAGAGTTCTTGAAGGAAGTCGTGGTGACGGCGGTTGCAAAATCAAGGAAAGTACCGAAGGAGAAGGTGACCGGAGAGAGCGAGAAGACTCCAGGCAGTGCGTATTGTCGCGGTCCCCTACGGGAGCCGTCTACGTGTCGTGTACTGATCACGCTCTGCAGGACAGCGGGGTGCTGCGCGTGCGCGCAAGGTCAAAACAGCGTCCCTCGCTGCAGCTGGTGATGTTGAGGAGATTTGGGCACTCTATGTGCAGCTCTTCGAGACAGAACCTGGTCGGTTGGAGGCGCCCCGGGTCGAAGACGACGACGAACCTAGCGGCAGAGATGATTGGAACGGTAACTCGGATGATCTGGGCGTGGATGGTTGGCGAGAGATGGACAACGACAAGTTGAATCACCTCCTTCACTTCCCTGGTGGCAAGCCGGCGCTGTTTGCCGAATTTCGATCGAAAACTGGTTTGTGTGCCTGGGATGAGGGTGCGTCACAGAAGTTTGTGGCGGAGAACGACGATATGGAACCGTTGTCGCTGCTGTGGCATCAGCGTGTAGGTGTCGCGGCCATCGTGGACAAGATATGGACGTCTTCGCAGAAAGACGGTAACACACCAGGTATTCTGATCGCTGACGAAGTCGGTGTCGGGAAGACAGCACTGACAATGGGCACGATCGCCTTTGCCATCGATGCGTACTGGGTGCAACAAGTGGCTGCTGGACAAGGCAAACCTGCCGGGGTGACGGCAAACATCAACCTCAGCAACCTCCGCCCAGCCCCCATCCTCGGTGAGTCACTGTGTTGTTGGACGCTTCTCTGAGGGAGCCAGTGCGCGGGTCAGCAGTGTGGCTCGTCGTTGTGCGAGCGGTCCCCTGAGGGAGCCGCACCGGGTGGCTGGCAAAATCTGCTGGGCGGGATGTTGACGGTCCCCGGAGGGAGCCGTGGTGTGTGGCCCAACCTGTCGGTTGTCTAGCGCGCGTGCGGTCCCCGTACGGAGCCGTTGGTGGTATGGCCACATGTTGGCAGTCCAGCGTCCGCGCGGTCCCCGTAGGGAGCCGTCAGCTGATCACAGTCAATGAACAGTAGCTCACCCTCCATATCTCCCTCACAGCAGAACGCCCTTTCTTTGCAGGTCGAGCTGCGATTCCCAACCTGCCGCACGTCATCATTGTGCCGAATTCCTTGATCAATCAGTGGTACTCCGAACTGCGCACCTTCTTCGCGCCCAGAGCCGTCGAGATATACAAGTATCCGACAGCAGAAATTGAGTTCGGAGAGTTCTGGAACGGTCCTTGGGCCACATCAACCACGCCATTCATTCACCGCATCATCCTGGTCACTCACTCGGTGGGTCTCGTTAGATAGCCCAAGATTCGGTTTCTGACTAGACGACAGGTCATGGGCACGAGCGGGAAAGTCTTCGACACACGCCAAGGTGTCGCAGGACACAACAGCAACAAAGCGGCCGACGAGACACGACATCTGAAACTCCGTAAACAGGCACCCAATTGTCTGTGGGCGGGTCATGAATTCCTCACGGCTTCCATCGATGAAGTCCACGAGATGCGTAACCGAACTGCTAGCTTCTACGCGGCCCTTGAGGTCACCAAGGCCTCAATCATTAAGCTCCTGTGCTCAGGCACTCCGTTGTACACCGGCCCGATGGTACGCCGTATGTCCTTCCTGGTCAGCACTAACTCAAATCCTTCCCAGGACCTTTGCAATGTCGGTCGGTTAGCGCGGATTCCACATTTTATGGGCAAGGAAGGTGATGAGCGTGACAAAGAGCATACCAAAAAACTTCGCGCTGCACGTCGGGCGATGACGAAGGAGGACAAGAAAGATGCGGCCGCACACACTGCCCGGCTGATAGCAGGCGGACCGACCGACGGTGATGAGCCTGAAGGCAGGTTGCGTATACGCAAGGTAACAAGTGAATGGATCGCTAACATCAAGCGGGGGTACGGTGACCGAGTGATTCGACGGACCGTCAACTCCATGACATCCGATCAAAAGAAGATCAACGACACGCTGAAGCCGTACAAGATGGTCATTGTTCCTGTGCGTCTCGATGACACTGAGCTGGAGATCAACATGAGTGTCATGGCACAGATTACGGGCTCGTGAGTACACGGCTCCCTGAGGGGACTGCGCCCATGCACTGACATTCCATCATCGTACAGATCTTTGGTCGCCGCGTTGGATGACGGCGCCAGTTTCAATACGGTGCGTTGCCGGTCCCCTCAGGGAGCCGCCCACTGACAGGTGTCCAGAAATTCTATCTTGATGGCCGCACAAAAGTCGCATTCCCGCATCACACTTCCCCAACATACCCCGCTGTCAAGTCACTCGCTGAGTGGGACAAGGTAAGATCGTCCAAAGTCGACACGTTGGTCACCTTGCTAGGGTGGCAGCTCGAATCGGACGACCATCACGTATTCCAGGTCGAGGACGATGACGCAAGTACCGAGGCTGGCGAATCCGCCAAAGTCTTAAGTCCCCCTCCTGCATCTATTGAGAAGGATGCACAACCGCGCGAGACACCAACCCTCATCTCCCCGAAGCCCAACGCGCGCTATGTGCCGATGAAAGACCTCATGACCAAGGGCACACGCAAGATCCTGGTATATATCGAATTTCCTATGATGGCCCCCCTCCTCGTGTCTGTCCTGAAGTTGTTCAACATCATCCCTCTCGTTATCCACGGCGGACACGGTATCGAAGAGCGCAACGAGACCGTGCAAAAGTTCCACTCCGACCCGAAGGCGAGGCTTCTCATTTTTTCTAGCGTTGGTGCCGTCGGCCTTAATCTCACTGCGGCGAGCATCGTCATTCTCTTCGTGAGTGTTGACTCAACCTGTCGGTCATTGACACACACTCACTTACTCACAGGACCAATGCTGGTCTCGCATGTTGGTCAATCAGATTATCGGGCGAGCATGGCGCCTGGGACAGCAAAGAGAAGTTATTGTCTATAACATGGTGGCGTTGGGAACCGTAGACGTGTTGATGGTCGATCATGGCGAGGGTAAGGGCAATATGCTGGGGCAATTTCTCTCTGCTCATAAAGGTAAGCGTCGAGACACTGGCATTCATCCAAACTTACACTCGGGAATAGGTGTTGTCAAGGCCATTAAGAACGCGGCAGATGGCCACTTGCCCGTCTCTGACGATGGCGACGATGAAGTGCAGATCATCGAAATACCCCCAGCAGCCGCCGGGTCCTCCAAGCGGCGTAAAAACGTGGGGAAGGGTAGCAAAAAACGCGTTACACGCAACCTCGCGCGGACCGGAGACGAGGATGGGGAGTTTATCGACATCGACGCTATTGTGCTCGACGACGACGACGAAGAGGATGAGGATGAGGAGGCCGGAGCGAGTGGAAAAGGTAAGGGGAAGGGGAAAGGGAAGGCTAAGGCACCCGCGAAGCCCAGGGCAAAGCCAAAGCCTAAGCCTAAGCCTAAGGGTAAGGGGAAAGGTAAAGCAACTGCTGAGGAAGCGACGAGCGACGTTGAGAAGCCTTTCTACATTGAGGGTACGTGGACTTCATATTTGCAACGGGAGGAAACTGACACTGTACTCAAGTCCCGCGCATGGGCAGGGCATCCAGTGCAGCCAGCACTGCTGAGACAACCCCCGGTCCCCAAAGGGAGCCGCACCCCTCCACTCCATCCCTCGCAGATGGCATGCAAGCTGCCAGCGGGACAGCTGGCAAGGCCGTTGTGAGTGCCCGGGCTGACAGCCATGTTGAGGCAGAGAGTGATGTCCGTGCATCCACTCAGCCTCTCGCATGCGACACTACCGCTCCATCCAACGGTCCCCTGGGAGAGCCGCTTGTCGATTCTGCCACGGCTGCCTCGACCGCACCGGACGTTGTCCAACCTCCCACGGCACCCACCGGTCCTCTACTGGAGCCGCAAACAGACACACGGAGCACAGTGGAGGCCTCCGCTTCGAACGTCTTACCACTCCCGCAGTCAGTCGGTCCCCTCAGGGAGCCGGGTGATCAGACTGTCAACAATCCGGTGGATTCTACAACGTCCGACGCCGGACACACAGGCCAATTGGCAGATGATTCACCCGTTCAGCCCACTGATCCTGCTCCTGCACAGGGTATGGGTCAGCCACATGATAGTCAACACGCTTCCGATATGGACATCGACACGCCATCAACTGGCCCGCACATGTGTAAGTTTCTTGTCCGCTCCACATGCTTAGCTATTCAATTCATTACTGCATCCGTCTCAGCCGCTGAAACGAGCAAGGCTGACGCTAACGAGATGGATGTCGATGCACAACACGATGTCGACCCCGGAAATGACTTCTTCCCCGGAGATAACGACGATTTCGATGTCCGGATGGGCAATCCCAGCACTCAACGCTCCGCTCGGGTGAGACTCTTGCCTGTTCGCGCATATTCTCATGGTTCTGATTGACATGCATAAGCAGGACAGGGATACAGTTGACCAAATGCTCATGGAGTTGACTCAACCAGAGTCTGGCCAGCCGTCGTTGACGCAACCGGAGTCTCCTTCAGCGTCTCAACCTGAACCTGACCCCATCCAGCCCTCGGAAGACATTGTCCAAACATCACAGCCCACCCAAGATCTCCGCCCTACATCCAAACGCCGTCGCAGGACTGGCTCGTCAGGCACTGCCTCACCCAGAAGTCCCCCCTATGCTCCATCGCCGCCGCGGAAACGTGTCAATTTTGCCGCGGAATCGTCAAGCTTGTCCAGTCCCGCTGGGCCCAGTGCGAGCGTTTCGAGAGAGCCCGTTGTGCTACGCAGCCGATCAGCGGTGCCTGATGACGCGCCTGGGCCACGGGGAGGTCGTGGCGGATCAGGTCGTGGCGGATCAGGTCGTGGAGGTTTGAGAGGTCGTGGTGGGCGGCGCTGATGTCTGTGTCTTCGTGCTCCTCGCGTTCCAAAATACAATTTTCATTTGCATGCATTCCATACGCGTTGTAGTTGGTTGGTTGTCTGGTTGATTGGGACTCCGCAATGGTGACTGCGTACTTTCGATATAACAATGTCATTCCGTTTGTGCTGTTTGCATACTGTTAAATCTCAGGAATGGCTTGCGCAATGCACTGTGCAGGTAATTGTCAATCAGGCCGCCCTGTACAACATCCTCGCGTCATCGCGGCTCCCTCAGGGGACCGCACACAACATAGCTGTGGGCACACTCAGGCATCTTACTGGCCGACAATCCACGTGCTGCGTCACGGCTCCCTCAGGGGACCGTTCGCTAGCTGCATTGCAGTCCCCTCACATCCCTTATTCCCACCACTCGTCGCAGTGATGCGCTGACAGTCATATACTCCCCTCACCTGCTGTGACGTGTAATAAATTGTTCGTGGTGTGGTATGTTGTTGGTTGTCATTCGCTACCCTGGTCCCATGCTCAATCTGTGCTGTGTTCCCCTGAGAGAAATGTGATTTCCTTCTTCGGTTGCTGTTGTCCTTGGCAGGTCCATTCTCTCAATTGCGGATTAGAGTATAAGTGAGTAAATTATTACGGCAAAGTATGTGCCAATTCGGTGCCCAGTCCCCTTTGAAGCACGGTGAACTAATATTGCAATGCTCTACCCTGAATGAAGAATGGAAACCTTGAAGTAAATTTTGCGCAAATGATCCGGGTCAGAAACTATATAGCTACTTCCTCTCCGAAACTCACAAAGTTTTTCGCCAACAAGAATCACACCATTCCTACTACCACATCCCATCCCACCTCCTATATCAGCCGACCATGCAGGGTGCCAATCACCAACAGGCCCCAGAGATCGAAGGATGTTCCATCGCCAATTTCAATACCACCTACATCAACATGACTACCAGACGTAACCTTCCTGCAGCCGAATACTACAGGGCCTGCATACTGGGCCTCACTGGCAAGGACATACATCACAATATTCAGTACTCAATTGAACCCACACGGAACAAATTCGAGCCACCCAGGCAAGTCACTGTTGTCAGGGATTATGATAGCTTCCTCTCCTTCACCGACTGGCTGCCTGTCAAGTCAGATCTGTTCCTATACCCCATCAATAATCCAATCGACACCTTGCACTCCAGTGTTCATTTTAAGGTGCCTATGAGCCTACGAGACAGACAGGTACATCTTCTTTGTCTTCTGTGTGACATCACCCTCACGTATACCCACGGCGCCCTATGGGACCTCTTCAGGCTGACATACTTATGTGCCCACATCGTGTCCCCAACATTTGTTTGGGTGCAATTGGCATCCGTACCAAAGTGCGGTTGTTCTTCCCACGGCTACATCACGTCGACAGGAAGGACGTCGAGTTGACATTTGAAGAGAAGCGAGGCCTGTATGAAAAGGGTTTGATGCCAGTCCTTCGCAACCTCAGTCCTGACACAGTGACTAATTGGCCTGTCAACTACGAGGGTGCACAGACACGTGCGAGGAAGACTCGTGGATTGTTTCAGTATGGCACTCGTCCTTTCTCTGGCTCCCGAGTCAGGCGTTTCGGGTTCGATCTAGCAGAGGCATTGGGTACTGCATTCCCCTGGGCAAAAGGGATGCTCTTCATGATCCAGGTGCAAGGTGTGAAGGAGGCTCACCAACACCATCCCGACGACATCGACAAGGCAGAGGATGCTTTGAGGAATGCTCTCAGTGATTTTCATTATGATGAGCTGATGGAAGAAGGTCATTGTTATGTCGATGTCGGCCTTGAGCTGTCGGAGCCGGGCTATGCATTTCAATGGCGCACTGATGCTCACTATGAGCTTCTCCAGGCTTTCACAGACATGGAACCACAACGCACCCGCAACTTACTCGAGTCTCGCACATTCGCTGTTGATTACTCATCTGGGTTGATACAACTCTCCGGTTGTCGTGTCCCCATCCCCATACGCAACAACACAGACCCAGTCTATTTCCAGGCCTACACAACAGATAAAGCTCTCATCCAGCAAAAAGATCGCGGCCGACACGGTTTGGCGCTCACCGGCAAGGCTGCATTGGCAGACGTGACTCCGCCATACTTACAACGCCTCTTTGGATTGTACTTTGATGCTAAGGACACCCATGACTGTGCTGCGAGGGTGGAGGTTCGAATTCGGCTGAAAGACGTATTCACTCATGCCCTTGATTTTCCTGGGTGGCTCATGACAGAGAGTTTGTGCGTGTTTCCACGATTGGATTGGTGGTGAGTCTGCCTGTCCATCTCCGGTCCCCTCAGGCAGCCGCTCCATGCATCGCTATGGCCGGCCAATGCCCTGGTGCCAGACAATAGCTTGGTCAATCCACGGTCCCCTGTGGGAGCCGTGCTGTGACTGCACATTGTGTATGGATATGCCGCTGCTGTCATGGACAGTTGTCTACTACTGCACACGGTCCCGTCAGGGAGCCGCCCTCTGTTCTCTTGTTTGCATTCATCCGCTCCACTCATTGACATCCACCCACACAACAGGCAATGGAGATGTGTCCGCCTCCAATCAATAATCCGCACCTTAAAACTCCAGAACGAAGGACCGCCTGAGCTCCGCTTCACTTCCACTGCCCTCACTCTCACCGCAGGACTCACGTGGCTTGCCAATGGTCTCCACTCTCGTCCTGACGATGGTTCGGCTGCACGGGATTTGATATGTGCAATTCTCCCCCTCACGCACGATTATGATGTAGACGGCATTCAAATCGTCCCTCGCCAAGACCACATTGACAATGATGATGGCCTCCCTTTCTGCGCTCATGGGGCATTCTTCTTGCGAGATATGGTGTTCCCCCCCATCGCGGATGTGCCACGCATGACCCGGACCAATGTCATCAGCCACACCTCCTACAAGTATTTCTTCGGTTGCGATTTCAATGTGCTCCGCAACATGCACAACCCCACGGCATACATCCCTCGCAATAGGATTCCAAAATCTCGGGTCAATACACAGAAAGGCATGTCCAAGCGCCACAGGGCTGAAATTCCTGAGCCATCTGCTGCCTTTGCAGACATGGAGTACGATGCTCCTCGTCCACCACAAGATATTGGTCAAGATTTGCCATTTGATGAACGACTCGACTTACCTCCGGCCCTTAACGAGGATTTTGCTATCACCATCACCAAGCATTGGCACCAATTCTGTAGTGATGTCCTTCAGAAATGTGGCAACATGAAAGGCAACCCATTGTCCCCTTCCCATTGCCGTCTCACCATGCATGAACGTCTGGTCATCACAGACGACATTTACAAAGAGACCAACCTTGCTCTCATTTTTAACCGTGTCCAGTGGAAGAGAGCACTTCCTATGGAATGGCGGGAGGCATTTGATAAGTTCTTTCCCCCTCCTCGTACAGCACCCCCCCTCCAACCCCAAAATTATCCCAACATGACATACTGGATCGAGTGGGCAGATATGAAGAGGGACAAACCGGCTGCCATCATCGATATTATTAGGTCCAAGTACTGGGATCTTTTCAAGGAGTTATATTGGATTCCCAAGCCATACAATGACCGTCTCTGGAAATACACCCCAGACTCCGCCTTTGTCATCCTTCCATCCACTCACACATCATCTGCTCCTCACCTGCTCATTAATCCTGGCAGACGTGCTCCAACATGGGACCCTGAACGTGTCGCTGGAGAAGCAGTTGAAGTGGCGGAAGAAGAGGAAGAGGAGCCAGCAGTTCAAGATCCTGACTATGTGCCAGCAACGGAGTGGATTGACAATGTGCCACCAATTCCCATGCGCATTTATATGAGGCAAGAGGAAGAGGAGTCTGGATCTGACACTGAATGATGGTTGGTTGGTTGGTTTGGTTGGTTTGGGTTTGGTGTTCGGTGACGAACATCCCATGTGTACATGCTAGTGTTCCAGCTACCATACCCTTAATGTGTTGAGACAATGTAATTACTGCTGTGGGGCTCGATGTGATAGGGTGTTGAAATGTATGCAAGTGATCCCCTGAGGGAGCCCGTGTGTGAGATAGTACAAGCACCAGTCCGGCTCCCTGAGGGAGCCCATTGGTGAGACGTCACAGGCACCTGTCCGGCTCCCTCAGGGAGCTGCTACCCCATTCCGGGGATGTGGCACGTGTCGTCCGGTACCATTGCAGTCCCCTGAGGGAGCCCATGAGTGAGATGTCACAAGCACCAGTCCGGCTCCCTTGGGGAGCTGCTCCTCATCCGGGGGATGTAGCACCTGTCATGCGTTACCCTTGCAGTCCCCTGAGGGAGCCCATGGGTGAGATGTCACAAGCACCTGTCCGGCTCCCTCAGGGAGCTGCGACCCGTTCCAGGAATGTGGCCAGTGTTCCATGCTCCTAGGTCGAAAGGTGACTGCAAAGGATAGCAGATAGCAATTGTGTGATATTGGTTGGTTACGGCAGTTTAAACGAGTGAATAGTATACGAAACAAAGAGCGAGAGAGTTCTAACTATGGCATATTGGTTTGGGCAAAGCCCGAAAGGGGCTCTAGACCGAAACACGCCTTGGAGAAAGCTGAGCTGAGATGGGCGGGTGGGCCATGCAGCTCAGGAAAACCAAATGGCATGCATCAGGTCAATGATGAAGGGAAGGCAGGAGAGGGGTTTGAGGTGTCGGCTGCAGAGAATACAGAGGACCTGATCTACTTGATTGCTTAGTGAAGGAGAAACATCAGGTGTGGTGGATTTATACCCGGCGGTTTTTTCCCCATACGGGTAAATCATCGCTGTCTCGCAGAACACGGTCACCTTTATGGCGAGATAGCCTAGGAGTCTTTGCCCTGACAAGGACTTTGAGTGGAGTGCGAGGGGGGGGACTGGATGATCGGGGATATAAGAGCAGAGCTCTCTTGATCCGCTGTGGTCTGGAGAGGCGGGTGATGCACAGGGGTAGTTTGATGGTTTTTGGATGAAGGGAGCCGGTGTTCAGGTCGCGCAAGCAGAATTCAACATGGTTGCTACCACAGCTCACCACTTTGCTCAGAGTGGCTGCAAAAAGAGGGAGTGGGAGAGGGGAGGTCAGGATGGTGTTAATGTGACGGTACACCACAATCTTGTCTCCAACCCCAAGAGTTGCTTTCGATCCAGGGACGATAAAACTATCAAAGGACCATGTTTCAAGGCCTGAAAGTGAGTGTGACATCCCCAAGATGAGGCAGGCAGCCGACATGGTTATGAGGGCTCCAGCAGGAGGGCAGTCAATGGGGAGGTTCACATTGGCTCCTCCAGACACGATGGTGTTATAAGAGTTGCAGGAGAACATGACCGTACTGAGGGAAGGAATGGTAAATGGTGCTCTGTTATAAGTCATGGATATGCAATAAGTACGTAAAGTATGGATCAAGGAACCATGGCACTTTGTCAGAGGCTCTGCAAAACCCTGAACTAAGTGAAAGTGGCTGAAGAATAACCGATAGATTGTAATGCTGATGACATTTGGAAATTTGCTCTCTAATGTCCGAGGGACATTTCTGGTGGAACCAGACAATGAGCTGCCACTAGGGAGAGGAGGGTGGGTGATTTGATTCAGGGAGATCAGAGAATCGGAGATAATCTTTTGAGAGAGCAAGAGCAAAGATATGAGCGACGACGGAAAGGAAGAGAGAAGTGTATGCCACTTTCTCAAACTGGGCATAGACCTTATTCTTGCCACGTGCTCGTGCCTCGTACTTAGTCAAAATCCAACATGCGTTACCCTTGCAGTCCCCTGAGGGAGCCCATTGGCGAGACATCACAAGGAGCAGTGTGGCTCCCTGAGGGAGCTGCTACTCACTCGGGGATTTGACTTGTGTCATGCGTCACCCTTGCAGTCCCCTGAGGGAGCCCATGAGTGAGATGTCACAAGCACCTGTCCGGCTCCCTCAGGGAGCTGCTACCCATTCCGGGGATGTGGCCAGTGTCATGCATCACCCTTGCAGTCCCCTGCGGGAGCCCATGGGTGAGATGTCACAAGCACCAGTGAGGCTCGAGACCCAGAGGCTATGCACCATGAATGCTCAATCCCAGTGAAAAACAACAAGTTAGAGATAGATATATGTAGATACCAATTGAAAAATAAAAGTCCTATAAAATTTATCAATCTGTTTCAAGGTCATTAGCTAAAATGTAACTTTTCAAGACCAGAATATATAGAGATTGAGACAAGTGTTAGCATTTAGATGGGATTCTTGAGGGCTTTAGATTTTTAGATTTTTAGATACACATTTAGATACACATCTATCACTCAATTTGGCTTGAAAAACATATAGATATACAACTAATGACAACAAATGAGGCTATTGAGGGGTATCACTAGGGTTAGGGTGGTATCACTGTGCCTTGCCCACCTTCCTGCCTTGCCCGCCATCCACTACTCCTCATCCGCATCATTGCTAGTAGTACTGGCTCCAGCTGATTTGAGCTATAAAACAGGACCATTAGTGTAGTATGAGATATAATATAGTGGGCAGTGCTCACTTGAGCAGCTGCTTTGCACTTGTATAACTACAACACTAGACAGTCTTAGATAGATATCAATACAGGAACAAAAGACGCACCTCCTTGTCGGCTTTAGACAGCCCATTCCAGTAAGATGCAAAGACAGTCATTGGTTCCTTTTGATGGCTGTTTGATTGTCAGTCGAGAGCGCACAAGTTCCTGTATATGAATCATAGAATTAGTTATGATTGGTCTGATAATAATAGAATAACTTACTGCCCAGTGATCTTTGCACTCACCCGCATTGGCTTGGTACTCAGCTGACACTTTGTGATGATATCAGGCTTTAAGTCAATGACAATTGTGGACTTCATTTGGTTGGTATGAGTCGCTCCAACAAGTTCCACTTTCACAATCAGTGAAGCTGCATTGGTGCTCATTTGAATCTCTGGCATGGAGACAATCGTGTTGGAGGGCGGTATTATAGCAGATTACAATTCAAAAGTTGGGGAATCAATAGAAGTCGGAGGAAGTTTATGCGGAATAGGCGTCCGGTAGGCAAGATGGCTTTCATTCATCTGTGGTATTTGATGTGTTGGAAGGTGATGAGCTTGATGCGACAGAGCTTGCGGAGCCTTGTATATTTACAATTACATTCCTGTATAAGTGTTAAGTGGATATATGCGCATGAAATGATATGGCACTTACTGCAATGCTTGGCATGGTGAGATTGAAGAAGCTTTCTCATTCACAACCCTCAGTAATCTGCTTGGAGAGTTGCTACTGTGTGGTGTAACTCTGTAAGTTGGCATTTGAGTTGCACATCTGTGTCATGATGAGATTCCCTGATAATGTAATCTGGTAGCAAAGGGCTATACTACCAGGTGCGACATGGCCATGACCATGGGTAAACCATTACTAAGCATGCACAACATCCCATATGTGGAAGTTGCGACCGTTGTGGGGAATGCTCCCACTGTAGGTGCGAAACCCTGTTGATTCTGCACCATCTGACATGAGTTCTGCGTATACTGCGTGTTGTGTGTTTCCTGTGCATCGTCTGATGCATTCTGCATTCCCGCGCATCCTTTGGAACATGCCACACCATCTGATATTCGCATGCATTGTTGGATGACCTTCATATGTCCTGTCCGCATCCTATCTATATGCGGACGGCGCTTAGGTGCTAAGCGCCGCGGTCACAAAATCGATTTTTTTCGTCCCCTTCCTTCCACAATTTATATAGGACTATGTATCTCATCTTGTAGCCCTCGAAATTCTCTTCTCCCCGGTCCAAAACCCGGTTTAAATACATTGAGATTGTGTTGTGTAAATCCATCTGCAAAAAGTTCACTTTCCCACACCTTCTCCATGCTTTTCTTGCCTGGCCTATATTCACCATGACCTCCAGGCAACTTGACACCTTCTGGACCTATCAAGATGCATATAACGACAACCCCGGACAAAAAATTTCGCTGCCCGCATGTCTCCTTCCCAACTTATGGCCCGTTCTTTGTTTTTGGTGCTGTGGACGGAGGGGGGGGGCAGGTGCGTCTGTAACTTTTGCACACTTTTTTTTCTCATTTAACCCTGCTAGCATCGCACTCTAGGGATTCATACCTACTCCCCGCGCCAGTTATTTCGTTGCCCGGAGCTCTGTGTCCAAAGTTATGCCCCAATCTTCCTCCTCGGCACTCTACAGGGAGGAAGAGGGAAAGGTGCGCCCGTATCTTTTCTTCATTTCGTTTTCTTACTTAGCGCTATTGGGATCCCACTCTAGGAACTCTTATCCACTCCCCGCACCATTCATTTTGCTGCCCGCACCTCTCGGTCCAAAGTTATGCCCGAATCTTCCCCACGGGCGCTGTATAGGGAGGAGGGGGGATGGGTGCGTCTGTAACTTTTTCGCATTTTGTTTTCTCACTTAACCCTGTTAGTATCACACTCTAGGGATACATACCTACTCCCCGCACCACTCAATTCGCTACCCGGAGCTCTCAGTCCAAAGTTATGCCCGAATCTTACCCACGGGCGCTGTATAGGGAGGAGGGGGGACGGGTGCGTCTGTAACTTTTTCGCATTTTGTTTTCTCACTTAATCCTGTTAGTATCACACTCTAGGGATACATACCTACTCCCCGCACCACTCAATTCGCTACCCGGAGCTCTCAGTCCAAAGTTATGCCCGAATCTTACCCACGGGCGCTGTGTAGGGAGGAGGGGGGACTGGTGCGTCTGTAACTTTTTCGCATTTTGTTTTCTCACTTAACCATGTTAGCATCGCACTCTAGGGATACATACCTACTCCCCGCACCATTCATTTCGCTGCCCGCACCTCTCAGTCCAAAGTTATGCCCGAATCCCCCCTCCCCCCCCCGCAGGTGAGTTAGCTCGCTTCAGCTTAAGGACTGCAATTTCATTATATCTTTATTCATACGGTTAGCATTACACTCTACACACTCTTAGCTATTGCCTGCACCCCCAATTTCACACACAGTTAGGATGTTGTGCCCAAATCTCCCCACTCTGCAGTTAGGTTAGGTTAGTTAGGCTTAGGGACAGCTATATCTCTATATCTTACTTCATAATGTTAGGTTACGCGCTCTATGCATCTGCGGTTAGTAGTTAGCTAGTTAGGCTTAGGGACAGCTATATCTCTATATCTTACTTCATAATGTTACTTACGCGCTGGTTGCACTCTTATGTACTCACTGCGCCACCAATTTGACAAAACATTCCTCTGGGTCCAACATTATTGCTGAACCTGCCGCCTCTGCACTACAGTTAGGGACGTCAGCGTTAGGTTGGTCAACCTTCCCCATCATAACCGGTTAGACACTTTAAAGTTTTACAATTATTCCCCACATACCTCCTACTAACGCCTTGTCCTTCCATTTCCAGCTGAACTCAGTTACGGGCCCGGTCGGGCGAGGTTTGACTCAGTACGCCAGGTCAAAGTCAACTGAGCACTTGTTCCATATTAGTTCACATATAAACGCTGTTATTAGTATAACTGTTGCCCGATATTGATTTAGTTATCGGTACCAACGCGAATTCTTAGAAGTGTTCCGCTATCCAGAAAAACTTTACTGGTATTTCATTTACGCACGTTCCACATACCGATTATAAGACCCTATACACCTATGGATGCAACCCTACTAACCGCACGAGCACAGTTTAAGTGACGCTGGTCAAAAATTGACTCACGCGTTAACGTCCTGCAATACTTTATTATTTCAGTACTGTACATTCATTAGGTCGCACTCACCCTAAACGCGCATGTACTAGCGCATCAACATTCAGCCCCTTTGTCACCTGTAATTACAAAGTCTCAAGGACATGTAAAGTAACCGTTAGTCTAGGTAGAAGATTGGTTAATAATTCTTCTCTGCAAGAAGTGACAACTCACCCGGTGGTCCCTGCCTTTGCGCTCATCCGCTTCACTTTTCCTCACTTACTTACTACAAACGAAGGCTTAACGCATCACTATATACCTTACAAACTTAGACATTAGCTTAAAGTTATTATACTTTGCTTACCTTGTGTTGTGACTTTAGTGCGTGATACATGTTGAGAGCAAAGAGCATTAGATTATGTAATCTACACAGTGCTGTATGTTTGTAGGGTTGCACTGTTGTTTGTGCAGCTTATGTAATATACGTCGCAGATCCCTATAGTAATTACTACCTTCCATCTTACATAATCTTTTTCTGTTCAACCATTACCGCTACGACATCGTTAGGTTATGTTGGGCATCCGCATTGTCAAGTAGGTCATGGGTCAGGCCCTTTGAGGCGGAACTATGTGAGATCCAGTACACCGCAAGAATGATCTACGTGAGGTTTGGTGTGCTCAGTACCAACAACATGACTCAACCACAATGCGTTTCCCTCGACTTTTCGGAGTACGAGTGCCATACCTATGCCCGGGAACTTCTGTCTGAGTGACTTAGAGGTGGAGGGGGAGGTTATCCACCCATATCTTTTTTCTATCGCAACTCCTGACCTTTGTCTTTGGTCATCGTACTCTACAGACCCATAGCTCGCTCCCGCTCCACTTTTTTCGTCTCCCGGGTCAAACCTGCACAAGCTACACCTGAAAACATCACTGTGGGTAGCTTAGAGAGGGTGGAGGAGGTAATCCGCCCATATCTTTTTTTCATCGCACCGCCTGACCTCAATCTTTTGTCATCTTACTCTACAGACTCACAGCTCGCTCCCGCGCTATTCATTTTGTCTCCCGGGCCAAAACTGCTCGACCTATGTCCCAAAACATAACTCTGGGTCTCTTAAAGAGGGTGGAGGAGGTAATCCGCCCATATCTTTTTTTCATCGCACCGCCTGACCTCTATCTTTTGTCATCTTACTCTCCAGACTCACAGCTCGCTCCCAAATGTTTGAGTATGTGTTGTGTATTGCTATGTGCCAAAAGTTGCTGTTCCCACACGCTCTCGACTTGTTTCTGGCCTGCTCTCCTTTCACCACGACCCCTGGGCACCTCCACATGTTCTGGACTGGTTGAGACACTGCCAGCAATGACCCCGCACAAAAAATCTCACCGCCCGCATCTTTTGTTCTTGCGCTATGCGCCAATCTTCTTTCTTGGCGCTCTGGAGGGAGGAGGAGGGCAAGGTGTGTCAGTATCTTTTTTTCCTGTTGGCTTCTCACTTAACGCTGTTAACATATCACTCTAGGGAGTCATAGCTACTCCCCGCACCACTCATCTCGCTGCCCGGACCTCTGGGTCCAACCCTATGGACTAATCTTCCTCCTTAGCGCTCTGGAGGGAGGAGGAAGACTTGGTGTGTCAATATCTTTTTTTCCTGTTGGCTTCTCACTTAACGCTGTTAGTCACTCACTCTAGGGAGTCATAGCTACTCCCCGCACCACTCATCTCGCTGCCCGGACCTCTGGGTCCAACCCTATGGACCAATCTTCCTCCTTAGCGCTCTGGAGGGAGGAGGAAGACTTGGTGCGTCTGTATCTTTTTTTGACGTCGGTTTCTCACTTACCGCTGTTCACATCTCACTCTAGGGAGTCTTAGCTGCTCCCCGCACCACTCATCTCGCTGCCCGGACATCTGGGTCCAACCCTATGGACCAATCTTCCTCCTTAGCGCTCTGGAGGGAGGAGGAAGACTTGGTGCGTCTGTATCTTTTTTTGACGTCGGTTTCTCACTTACCGCTGTTCACATCTCACTCTAGGGAGTCTTAGCTGCTCCCCGCACCACTCATCTCGCTGCCCGGACATCTGGGTCCCACCCTATGGACCAATCTTCCTCCTTAGCGCTCTAGAGGGAGGGGGGGGGGGCAAGGTGCGTCTGTATCTTTTTTTCACATTACTTTCTCACTTAACGCTGTTAACATATCACTCTATGGACTTCTAGCTACTCCCCGCACCACTCATCTTGCCGCCCGGACCTCTGGGTCCAACGCCACGCTTCAATATTCCTCCTGGGCGCTAGGTTAGGTCGGTTAGGCTTAGGTACGTCAGTCTCTTTACATCTCACTTCATGTTAGTCAGTTACTCACTCTAGCGAGTCTTAGCTACTCCCCGCACCAGTTATTTCGCTTCCCAGACCTCTGGGTCAAACGCTATGCCTCAATCTTCCTCCTCGGCGCTCTATAGGGGGGGTTAGGCTTGGGTACGTCAGTCTCTGTTTATCATAACCGTTTCTCATAATTTAATAATGGTCTGGCTCAGTAGAATACTAGTCAGTAACCCTGCCTTCACCTACCCTCCGGGAGGTCATTGTCGCCCAGCATCATCATTTGTACATCTATGAGATCTGTTAGTTATTAGTAGATCTATTCCCCAATGTATGCTTGCCCCTCGGTGAATTAAGAATTGTCTCAAGTGTAACAGCATCAGAAAAACCAAACTTGCATTGTTCATTGCTCATTACAAACATGCCAACAATAAGACATTATGGAGTTTAAGGGCAGGATCTCACCAAGCGAATGTGCGAATGTGAACAACATGAAAATCACAACTTGAACTTACATGAGTCTCGACATGGTGAATCTCTTCATGATCGGTACCTCCCAACTTCCTCCCCTATATCTAGCAAACATCTAGAACCTAACTTGAATGAACAACATGGTTTGCGATGCTTGACGTCACGTCATCCGTGAGTGTCCGAAGAGTGGGTAGCGTTTCCCTTGCACTTGAGCCTGGCGATGATATGAATCAGTGAAAATCAATTAGGGCGTGACGATTATACTGGCCTGATGTCATCCGTTGAAGTTCAGTGGACGCATGGACCAACATAGGGCCGTATGCCACGCGGAGATGCTCCTCAGAGCAAGTGATGTGCTTCGCATGCTGGCCTCACTAGAAGAGACTCATCAGTTAGCATTTTTACCGAGAATAAATAACCGCATCAACGTACATAACTCAACTGTGTTCCGTTGAATAGTTAGTGTTAGAGTGAAACTGTTCTATGCAGTAAACGGCTGCGCAAGACATTGAACTGGATAGTTAAGACTTACTTTGGTTGCAAACAAGCATCCTTGGTCCATTAGTTAAATATCAACCTCAGCGTTACCGAACGACTCACCTTGGACAATATGATATCCTCGATACATCCGTTAAGTTGCAAGACGTCATTCTTGATGACGCCAACATCGCCAGTCGCTGTCAACCAAGCTGGAAGACGTGGTATCAACGCATCAGAGTGTGAGTGCCTGTATGAACGAAGTTTCACGCTTTAGTACATAGATTCAAAAGCACAAAACTTGCCTGAAGCCAAGGGTGTTACATATCTTCAGTCCAGCACTTGAGGGCGTGATGCAAGTTCAGAGGAAAGAGAATGATATTACGTAATCTACAGATTGATGTTTGTTTATAGGGTTGCACTCTTGTTGTTTGTACAGCTTACATAACACAACGCTCAACCCTATAAAACAAACATTCCCTTGCATTACGTAATTTCTTCTTCTTTCTCCTCAACCACCATGTTCCCCCCTATGCAATATAGGGGGCCACTCATTATTGCCGCGTCAATGAGCCCAAACGCTCGTTGATAGTCGCTACTTGGCCCGAGCGCAAACGCTCGAGACAATCCCTCCCCTTTCTTGTCGACGAGCGCAAACGATCGTGTCGATCTCTCCTCCTCCTCATCAACGTTATCCCTTTGCTTTTCTTCACGTTGGTGAGTAGTGTGTCTTGGTCACTGTTTTATTAGCGCTTCATGAAGCCCTTTAGCTACCCACACGTCTCGATGTACATCCCTGGGACCCTCGCGATCCTGTTCCACTGATGTCCAGTCAATCCAGGGACGCGCGTGAGTACAATTTGCTTTTCTGCATCAGTCCATTGTAGCTCCTTCTTGACATTAAGTTGCAGAGTCTATGGATCCACGCGACGATCGTACGCCTCGGCTACCTTCTCCCCACCCCCAATTGCTCAAGCTCAATAATTTGAGCCGTTCGGTGTCAATCGGCCGTCTCATTGCGTCTCACTCTCAAGAAACTGGTAAGTAAACCGCCTTTGCACTAACCGTGGCTATCATTTATCGCAGTTTCTTTGCGCAGGCTATCATCAAGAACCTGTGAAATTGTTATCTGCGCTCGCATTTGGTCTGTCCGGTCGCTGTAAGCATTTTCTTCGGTCTCAACCACAACACCAGCTAATAGCCAGGCAGATCGCCTTTGGGACATTGCTCACTCGAGGCCCACCATCTCCGCTGGTGTATAATTTCATGAAGCAACTGCACGATTCCTCCCGTCTTCTTGCACGCGCAGCGTCAAATAGCGGACGCGCTGCTCAAGCACTGGTCAGTCTTCATTGTTATTACGCTGAGTACACTACGTGATGGAGACCATACCGCAGCCAATTCTTAGAACGGTAATCACAGCGGCGCGGGGAGCAATGGAGCCTTCAAGTAGTTCAAGACGACAATGAACTCGAAATCTTTGCTGGAAGAACTAGATTCGTTCCGGCCCAGCGACCTTCAAGACTACTTGTAGATTATCCGGAGGCGTCTGCATGTTCATAGCAACGCATATCTCATAGGGCATCGCCCGACATTCAACCTGCCGCGACCGTATCTGCCTTTGAGGCTGAAAGTGCACCCAAGCAGATGCTTCAGCGAACAAATTTAACCCTGAGTCTCACGTCGATAGTTATTAATTGTGATTTCTCTGCGTGAAGGTGAAGGAGGTTTGGTTTAGCGGGCGTGGCGTAATACTTTATGTAAGACCAATGGGTCAACCCTATAAATGAACGGACTCAGAGATTACATAATCTTTTCCTTCCATCCTCAACCACCACGACACCATTTTGTCGTGCTGGGTATCCACATTTGTGTACGAAGTTATTCGTTAAGATGGGTCAGGCCCTTTCAAAGGGGCGGTACTACGTGAGAACCAGCGCATCTCAAAAATGATCTACGTGAGGTCTGGTGCGTCCAGTACCCATCTGGTGACTCGTGCACATTGTGGTTCCCAGCCTCGACTTTTCGGTGGACGACCGCTAATGCTTGTCAAAAACCTCTACGTTACCCTCACCTATGATTTCGATTTTAGTTCCCTCTTTCACAGCTACTTCGGAGTTTTAAAATAGCCTTAATGTCGCAGTTGAGCGAATCTGCACAATATTAATAATAGCACACATACATAATTGGAACTTTTAGAGTTATAGTACGCTGTCGCATCTGTAATTGCGGAGTCTAAGCCCTAATCTAATACCACTACTGCAGTCCTCTATGCTGCCTTACGCTGTTGTATCGCGAAGTTTCAATCAATGCCCAGACAGTACGTCCCCCCTAAGTTAGGGAGAGTCTTAAATCTCACCCAAAATCCTCCAGGTGTACAAAACCAAATTGCCCACGTCCCAAGTATCAAGCTGGGGACAAAGACAAGACCCATAACAACAAGTACCACAGCGCTTTCATTAATGTTTCATGGCAAGGGCAGACAGGTTAGTGCCGCATATATGCACAATTCACCCGCATATACTAACCCCTACACACAGTGAAGGTGTCAAGACATTCGGATGGGCGATTTCATTGCCCATGCGGACGTTACGATCACGGTCGATACGACTACCACCGATTCATGAAACTCTTATCAAAATCCCCCCACCCTGATGATGCAGCATCTGACTGTATGGACCCCGACGAAGGTATGTACTTTTGTCAATCCGCGCACGTCTTGACTCTAAAATCACATGTCACAACAGATCCATCCGGTGAACAAGAGTCTCCTCAAGTCGCTAACGTCGGCACGGAGCTAGTTCAAAATCACCACGACAATTCCCCCGACACGGCCCACTACGCTGAAGACTCCCTTTGTCCACACCCCGACATGGATGTAGATCCGTCGCCCGCTCCGGAACCCCCTGTCAATTCGATACGCGCAGCTGTCGAAGCCCGCTCTCACACACTCCATCAAACCGCATCATCCTCTCTAACTCGTTTCTTCAAAGGCAACGCCTTAACGTCCGTTGCCCACGATGTAGTAACAGTCGGTGCAGACCTTCGCCTTGCTGAAGCCCATGATGAAGACGTCGACTCTGGCAGTGAGGATGATATTGCACCTGATGATTCCGGAGACGATGACGACGGCCTTCCAGCGATGGATGTTGACACTGAGTCAGATCCAGCGGAGCTCAGAGCTCACGCCCACGCATGGGGCATCCACGTTGACCCGACGTTCAACCTCACTGTATGCCTCGACTGCGCCGTTGCGATCCCATGGGAGCAAGCCTACGGCCACCGCCGTAGGCAGCATAATCCCACTGGAACCTCCAGTAAATCACTGCCATCCAAGGCAAGCGTCTCCAATACCCTGCGCGGGTTGAATGCCCATCTGCCCAAGCCTCTGCCGACCGATCCAGTTCCTCCTATAGACGGCATGCGCATCATACCCAACTTACTCAAGTGTACCATAGAGGGATGCACATTCAAAACGCTGTTCACATCTATGACACCCTTTCATAAACATTGTGTCCTAGCCCACGGAACACCTCCGCTGGCGCTTCGCTCGCACGCCATAACTAACGGACACCAGATTGGTGTTATTAAAAACTCAATGTCCTACATCGAGGTAGCGAGCTCCCCCACAATCACAGACTCGAACGCCCTCGGGGCCATTCTTGCCCATATCGACGAATGTGGATTATACTCTAGGGATACTAAGTACCAGCCTGCAGCCAACAAGCGACCCAGGGGGCCGCTTTTAGCTCAGACCAACTGGGAGCAGTGCATTGAGAACGTCGACCTCAAGTCCCTCCGCCTAACTGCTTCGAAACCCGACGGCGAACCTGCATTCCAGTACCTCATCCAACAAACTCAAACCTACTACAAGTTCATTGCGGCCAATCTTGGTCGATTATCTACCCTTACCCTTCGGGCTATTGCGTCCACCAGCCCCTCTGGTAACACGGAGAAGGCACCGTTTCGCCGTCCTCAGGAAGACCCAACGCTGGAACGATATGCTAATTTCATGTCGAGATTCATCATCTTTCTCATTCGCCACCTTTGCCAACCCGTCGATAACTTCGACGTGCCTTTGCACCCCCTTCACAGCCATTACTTGAAGGAGCTGTATGCCCAGCTGAAATCTGCATTGAACCGCAGCTCTGTCGGTGCTGACCAACACTGCATAGACCTCATTCATCGCACCGTTTTTTCCCTCCTCTCCTGCGTTAGTGACGACTTCTTGAAAAATGAAATGAAAGACCTGTTCACCCTATTTCTCGTCACGTATCACCTTTCCGATGATTATGGCAACACCAACCGTGCGCCTCAAGTGCCACCCACGATCAGTCAGGCCCAATGGTGCTTCAGAGCAACCGCGGCCTATGAGATCATGGAGAAGATGCCGTACCATGAGAACAACTCCTTCAAGTACGTATCATCGCCAGCTTGCTCCAGACTTAGCACTCACCGCTATTTGCATAGGACGTATGAGGTTCTCGTCCAACGCTACCTCGTGGACGGCCCTCAAACTCTTTTTACTGGTCTGCGACAGAAGATGGCGCTTCTGTCTGCTCTGTCGTATTCGGAACCCGGACTCCCTCGCTTTGGGTGGAACGCTGAGATGACCGTGGTGTCCATTGACGGATTTCCTATACCATTGAAAACGTTCAAAAACTCAGTCAATTCATCCCTGGACGACTTGAAGGCAAAGATGGATGAGCTGTTCCGAGGTTGCCAATGGGACGACATCTTACTTCACATCGACTCCCGCACCGACCCTAACAATCCCGGCAACTGGTTCACCGACAGACCTCAATCCGCAGATCAGAAGACGTCGGTATTCTCTTTCAAAGAGAACGGTTGGGACAAGTACCAGCGGCGTCTCCTGGAGCACCTTGCCAGGGATCCCAGATTGTTTTCCAGGGTCAAGGGAGAATATGTCGTCAACGCAGGTAAACCCACCGCGCAACCGTGCAGAGCATAGATGCTAATTGCAACGCAGGGAATGTCTGGGAATGGCTCGCCGTCTTGAACGAACTGTCGTCCATCATGTTTTACTGCGTTGTATCGACTTGGGGGGGCGGAGCCCGAGGAACAGAATGCGATCACTTAAAATTTCAAGTCGACGGCCAAGGGGACCGACAGATTTTCATACTCAACGGCCTCGTCACCATCTCAACTACCTACGTAAAGACTGCAAGCATCCAAGGTCACGGCAAACTCATTGCGCGCTGTCCGTCGCATTCGGCATCAAGGCTACTGTTGGTCGTACTAGGGGTCATATATCCTGCAGCTGCGGAGCTCGCGACCTTCGTTATGTCAGTCGAAAAGGCCAAAGCGTACCTCTCCTATGTCTTCCTTCACGACGGCACCCCCATGAACACCCACGATTTCTCACAATCCATAGGCGCCATAACCCAACGCTATCTAGGACGCGCCTTAGGCATGAGAGATTGGAGACAGTTGATGAGCACCATGCTGATCAACATATCAAAGGTAGACTTCGGCATCGTCGACGAAGAAGATGCGGGTCTTTTAGCAATTCACGACGCCTTCGGTCACTCCCAGTCAGTCGCAGAGGCCCACTACGCTCTGCAATCCACCAATGCGCTCACCGAGATCTCCCACACCGCCGTTGCCTCCATGCAAAGAGTGAGCAAAAGATGGCACGCTACGATTGGGCAACTGCAGAACGGCGCCAAGGAAGCATCGTTTGATTTGCACTCGGCAGAGCGTGATCATGAAGAACAGCTCTTCGATCGGCTCTTGGGTCCCCTCAAGACGACCATACACAGCGCAACTCAACAGGCGACCGCATTGATGGGCGTTGACATCGTCGACGAGCTCAGAAACGTTGCAACTGGCATGGGCCACGGCATCCTCAAAGAAATGGAGGCCATGTTCCATCAATACATTCTTGCGTTAGGAATAACTCCTAAAGCACCTCTTGGAGTCCCCCCAGCGCCGTCGTTACCACGCATCTCCGTTCACCCCAACCTCATAGAACGCTTACGACCGCTCTTCCCTGGACAACCCACCCCTTCCTTCACCTCTCCACAACAAGCGGAAGTCGTCCAGAGCTGTATGACTAGCGACCACGTCGTTTGCGTTATGCCTACGGGCAGTGGAAAAAGCTTGGCATTTTTTGCTGCACCCGTACTAATCCCCGACAGTTTGTTTATTGTCATCACTCCCCTAGTCGCCTTGACCGAAGATCTTGCTCGACGCCTGTCCAGCACAACCATCCCCGGCGGACAGTATCACCATGTCAAGGACGTTTTGTCAGCCCAAATAATCCTTGTATCAGCGCACCAAGCAGGAACTGATGAGTTTTATCAATGGGCCAACTCCATTGGCTATAGACTTAAGCGCGTCTTCATCGACGAAGCGCATCACATTTTCACTTCAGACGACTATCGCCCATGCTTCAAGTTGTTCCACCTGATAACCCGCCTGAAGAAACCG